AAACACACACACAAGAAATCTGGGCCAATGTCTGCAATAGCAATCGTAAACAAAACTGTTCAAGCTGTTGTAGTTAAACGTAGGCCGCTTATTCGTAGCTGTAGGCCTGTGTCAGAGCTCAGCCAACTTAGGTCTTGTATGCATGTGCAAACGTTTTTATCCCCAGTTTTGAATACCAATTGAAGTTAGAGGGCTATTTCTTTTCATTCTGCTTAACTTCCTTTACGTGTAATTAGTAGGCGATCCACTGATAATATTCAGATAACTCAATAGTATGCAGACTCCATAAAGACTAATGAAAGCCATGTTTGATTCAATATTTCGTTCTTTATTCAGAACATCTTCATTCCTGAAGATGTTCTGAATAAAGAACGAAATATTGAATCAAACGTGTAATTAGCATTTTGGGCTTTTGGTTTCGTGGGTTTGAGTTGTACCAGGGGGAACAAAGGTAAGTTATTTCTTAAGCCAAGGAGGTCTTTTGTTTGAATGAATACTTGTGCTGGGTGTGTATGCAAGTGGTGGATGCAGTGGTATATAAAAGGAGTGCGCCATCTTTTATCCGGGGCCACTTATTATGCTATTCTAGTGATGGTAACGTCGTCATGGGTTCAAGAGCTCTCTTGCATTTGGCTAATTCCATTCCATTTGGAGCAGTTTGGCTCCAGTGGTTATTTTGAAGTCAAGATTCAAAATTGTAAAGCCTTCATAGAGAGCGGCCATCTTGTATATGTAGTAGTTTCCAACTACAGTGCTGAGCTTTGGGCCGGCGACAGTGACTACAAGCAACAACAAGGGCCAAAACCAGTAAGAATTTCTTTCTGTATTTTTATTTAACTTTCGTAAAATGCCAAATATGAGACATTGAGTGATATAATTGTAATTTTTCTTCGTTTTAACTTCTGTAAATAGCAGGTCTATGATTTCTTAATCGATTGTTACCATTAATTCGAGACCTATGGTTTCGATGGAAATCTAGTAATTGAATTGGGAGTAATCGATTCTTTGTTTTCTTTTGGGGGCTTTGTTTTTCCTGTATTAAGTATCGCACCATTATTTTGGAATTGGCTTCATTGTATTGCTTTCAGAAAGCCCAAAATCCAAGGCAGGAATTTCCTGGAATTGGTTGTCTAAGGGGTGCACTGTACCCTCTTCAGGGAAAGCCAAATCTGGACGAGGTTGGTGTAATAAGGAGGAACCACGTGAGGCGGGTCTGAGAGACTATGAAGCGAGACTTGGGAACGACAGGGAACGTGCACAAGCCTGATGAGGGATAGTGGACACCGTTCGTTCAGGATAGACGATTCAGGCAAAGAGTTGCCAAATTAATTAGTGGCTTACTTCATAAATTTGTGTGCCACATATTGCTGAATCGATTGTAAATTTTGTTCCCTGCTATTGTATTACATGTATAGATTATTGTACTTGGCTTGTAATTGAGTAACTTACCATGTTTGATATTTTGCCTCGGTGGCAAGCTGCGATTGTTCATATGTCACCTTTGGGCGAGTTGTGGTAATACTGCTAATACCCCATATAAGATGCTGATGTGTTTTTAGGAATCATTTCATTTGAGACTAGTGTGGTTGTCCATCCTTAATTACATTAATATTGCCCTTTTTGAGATATATTTATGTGTTAATAACTGAGTATTTTGCAGTGCCTGGAATCAAGGTTATTAATTCAGGAATTATTGTTGTGGAATATTTGCGGCTGGTTTGAGACCAGAATTGTGAAAGCGTGATCCCTGTTTGGGAAGCAATTCAAATATACGTCGTAGGGTCATCTTTCGGAAGCGGAGCATTATTTTAATATAGGATTTGTACAGCTAATAAATCGAATACTCTAGGTGAGAATCAACAGATTTTTGAATTTTCGCACTTTTAGTATATATATATTTAACACGACATATTTATTTGCATGTGAAAGTGTTGAACTTCGGACATTTCGGAATAAACTGTAAAAAAAAAAAAATGGGTTTGTTCGATTGCCTTACCGACTGAGGTCTCACAGCCTGCATACAAAAGTATGCACGCTACATAGTAGTAGCAGCACCTGCGACTGTCTGAGTCAGAATATTTGTATGCAGCCATGTGGAAAATGCTGACAACTGAAAAAAAAAGACAATCTGCTTATTTTTTTTTCTAATTTAAAAATCCACGTCCCCTGACTGGACGTGTTCGGGTAATTAATTTGGGGGGAGGGTGTTGGTTTATTTCTGGTGTTTTATTTTTCTGTTTTGGTTTTGTTTATTTTAAAATCAGCTGATGGGTGTTCAAAGGGCAGTTTTATTTTGTTTTTAATTATGTAAGTGGTCCACTGTGATTATTTTAAGAACAGTTTAAAATATCAGTATCAAAATTTACGGATTGCATACTGCTATAACAATGATTCAGTTAATAGATTCAGCGCGACTAGTCCTGAGGTTTCCAGACATTTTTACATACACTTTAATATTGGCGACTACCTTCCATTATGAAAGCGAGACCAAATATCTCCATTTTTCTCTCATTCAGGGTCAATATTGCTGTAACTAAAGGTCACGAGGAGGACGTAGGGAGCAAAACATCATTTTATTGTGCAGCCTTCCGGTCTCTCTCAAACTCTTTAATTAGCGGAAGGCCATATGGCTTCAAAGTACCGCCATACCAACAGGTACTGTGGGTCCTATTGAATCGTGTTTATTTTATCACAATTAGGCAGATCTGGTTACTCGTTTCGTTTACTTCGCTAGTGAGGGGCTGTTTATTCTTTTCCTTCCTATCGGGTCGACATTCTCTTAGGCCGTGAGTACTTCGCGTGCAAAATTCACGGCCATGCTCGAGCTTTTTCACTGGCATACGTACGTACCCAATTATAAGTAAACTGTGCCCACGATTTTACTTATGCTTGCCCAAGATTAACATAATCATATCATCAACTGACTAAATTGTGCCAGAGATTTAGAAAAACTCCAGAGGTCAGTGCTCTTCTCATTCTTGTGTGCGTTCAACGTTTATTGCGCATGAATTGAATCTCTCAATTTTTATTTCTTCCAGGGAATCCGGTATATTTTCTTCCCTAAAACAAGATGGGCCTACATGTTTCTTGGTGCTGTGTTAAGAGGCAACGCTGCACCCCGAAATCCCGAGGATGGCAGGTAGTTTACCATTATTAGAAAAATTATGTATGTTGCCTGTGATGTGCTGAAAATGTTATACATCTAGAAGTATATGAAGTATATTTTCACAAATAACATTTTTTTCATCTAAGATTACCCCCGAAATTCCAGACGAAGCTGACAGCAGAGGACATCAAGCTTGTACATCCAGATTTTGAAAGATATATCAGAGACAGGTATCTGTCATGAAATCCGTCACGATACTTACTTTTACACTTTTTTCCTTCTCTCTTACCTGCATTGATATAATCTAATATATTTATAAAACATTCATGAAAAGCATTCTTTTGATCGCCCAAATGGCTTTCTAAGCATCGGATGGAATATCCAGTCTCTCCCCCCAATCTCAAGAATTATTTTCAAAAACGGAGTTTGTAAGTGTGAAATAGGTTGTATGTAACCGTGATAGTCAGGCGGAGGACATCCAAACTTTAATGTTTCTGTTTTTTGTGTCCTTTCATTGTAAAGTATTGGTTTCATATGTACCAAAGTTTACGAAAATATCCAGGTGATTAACGGTCTGTTTATTGTTAGATGGATCAACTCCACCCGCCGTAAAAACGTACAAATTTATCGTCCATCAACCGGTGCTATCATGCTTCTCCTGGCACTACACACCTGCGACAAGGTGAGAATTTCAGAATTTCCAGAAATCCAGTGCTCCAGAAATTCACTTATGCAGCTTTCTGTCTGAGAATTCACAACTAATCATAATGTGCTGCATGCAGTCAGCAAGGGAAGCTCATTAACCTATCAATTGGCCACACAGATTAATGGCCAAAACCTCCCCCATAGACCTCTTTCGTTGCCAAAAGCTGTCATGTGACTGGTAAAAATATGGCAAGGCCAAACAAATGGATGATATGAACAGTCCTTTGTTGAACCGCGAACTTCCGACTCCTAGTAACCTGCGATATTATAAAGTGGTGGCATTTCAATTAGTTCCTTAATATTCCATTGTTAAGACCGCCCCTGTAAACTGCATGCTATTTAAAAATTTTATTTAACCCATCAAATATGACCAAAAAAATTCATTATTTGTCTATAGACAGAAAAATAACTCTTATTGGTCCTTTCTTTGGTCCTGCTGCTGCTGCTTGCTGTATATATCATCCATTTGCTTTTGTGTCCACGCCTTGCCATATTTTTACCGTTGCTGCTGCTGCTGCTGTTGTTGACATTAACATTCATAAATTTGTAATGATGCCGTTCATTGTATACAGGTGGATGCATACGGTTTTGCCGGAAGTTTCGAAAAATACTCAGAGTACTACTACGACGTTGCGTTTACAAAACATGTATCGTATCTCAATCACGATAGTCAAAAAGAGAAGGAACTGTGGATCAAGCTACATCAACTGGGCATCATTAACCTATACACCAGAGACTAGGTTTACTGGGAAGGTTTTGCTGGAACACCGATCTCGCATCTAGTGAAAATCTCCTGTGACCTGTGCAGGACAATGGCGGCGGAAGCGGGGGAGGGGGCCAGTGTCCCCCACTTTTTTGACCGGGGCTCATCCCCCCCTTTTTGCAGGTCCTATAATTGGATGGGGCAGAACAGATTGAGCTATTAATGGCTGATGCCTGATGGTCTTAAAACTGCTCCCCCCCCCCTTTTGAAAATCGTTCCGCCGCCGGTAGTGGAGGAAAATAATTGTGCAAAGTTTGTTGCCCTGTAATAGAGTATTCATTGCCAATTTCCCAGCTCAAATTGAATTTTGCACACCGGTTTCAAGTGTACCCATTTTTATTGCTCCTAAACTTTAAATTGATAAAAGAGTACAAGACGCTGGGTGGGCTAGCCTGTCTTTTCTTCAATAAGTTTTATAGGTGAAGCCACATAAACTTGGAATTTAATTGAATTTTGACAAATATTCAATGACAGTGGCAGAATGTCGATGCATAGATCTTTTGAGTTTATAATCACATGAAAAGATTATTTTGAAAGTTAATACTCTTTGGATAAAACGTGCAACCAAGCTTTGATCTTTTCTAAAGTACTATACTGCAATCTTGTATACTCAAGTTCCTTATTAATTTTAGTGATGACTGTCGTAGAATGTTTAAATTACGGGAATTTCCAGTAAACACTGAAAGTTACACTGACCTGACCAGCTATTAAGTTTTGATGTACATGTCTTTATTTCAAAGACATTTGTGTATCAAATTCACTGGTTTAAAAAAGTACAGATAGTTAGAGCCTTGGATTTAACAGCAACAACTAGCCCTATCATTGTTCAATTTAAAAAATTTCAATTTTTCAATTAAAGTCAGTATATGCCTTTTAATCATTCTTCGATTAAATTTTTTGCTAAATTCAATATTTTACGCTCTGCCGATTTTTCACGCTTAATTGAATATATCAAAAATATAATCAAACTATGTGCATTATGATAATAACTGTGATTTTATCATAACCTTGGCACAATACTCTTTCCAATGATAATTTGGATGAACTTTTAAGGTCATGCACCGCTGATTTCTGCTCCAGAAAACGTCCATAAAATGGGAAGAAAATGGTCCTGCACTTCCATTCAAGTCTTGGCAGGGAAAACTACCTTGATAGAACTTCATCGTCTCTTGTTTGATCATATAACTTACTTGTATTTTCAAACGCATTGTTGGACATAGCCTTATTTCGTTGTTTTCCTAAAATGACATCTGGCCGAAAGAATAATTTGGCAGGGGCTTCTGTCCACAACTATTTTTAAACCAAGAATGTTTTTCTGCAATAATTTCGTCAGTTACTTTTGGATAGCGCCAACTGATGGATTGTACCTTTACGATCGGAACAACTCGACATTCTAACGGGCTCTTTTCACTTTTCTGGTTTGGATTTTTAACAATCATCAAAGCCATTCGAGATTTGTTCTGGGCAGGAACAACCAAGATCTTCCTAAAACCAAAATAGCTACTTCAGAAAGGTTTGTATATAGTTATGAACTATGGTATATGTAGGCATAGACTTGGTGCCAAGTCCAACACAACTGTCGAACGACTTGTCATCAAGTCAAATATTGGACTGATTATTGGTGACCCTGCACAGTAAAACTTTCATCTGCGTGTAGGTCTATCTGACTTTCCTTAATATCCTCACATGAATCCTTTACCACCAACAAAAATTACGTACTTCAATCGTGGAGGGTCATTGTTATATTTGAAGGTAATAGCTTTGTCAGGATGTTATGTAAGACGGTGTATAATCCTATTGCTTTCCCGTCACTGTAAAGTCAAGATATCACACACAGTAATCTAGATAAAGCTGACCAAAGGATGAAGATACCTTTTCAGAGCTTTTCGGGTGCAGCACCACAAAAAACAGGTTTTCAAATTAAATCGATGAATTTTTAGTGTTGATCTATTATGAACTTTCCATTGAGATTACGACGCTAATCCCCACTATTTCAGTGGAACGGGGGTTCTACTGACAACAATATCCTCTCTAAGTTCATGTAGAATCGTTACATTTTATGGTACAAAGATTGAGTAACGGCACACAACATACATGTTGGAACGAAAAGCGCACGCACGCGCTATACGTGTTACAGGCGCACTATTAAACTACGCAACCATGCCCAAAACTTCGCTGGTCGCCCAGTAGTAGGCGGCGGGGGGTTCTGGACCTGCAAAACCCTCCTATACCTACCCAACCCCCCTCAACCGGCCCAACTCCTTCCCTCCGGATCAACTCCCCGGGGCTTTTCTAAACCCCCGGGATTACGACCAACCACGGGGAATAGATTGCAAAAGGGGCCAGATTTCCCCCAACCAAAAGAAAAAAACCACTTTCTCCCTAAATCGAAAGAGGTTCGATAAAAATTGAGATTAAATTATAATTCCCATATAATAAATAGAGACTTGAATACGCAAACAAAACCACAACGTCGCCCTGTCTTATTGGGTTTTAATTGACTTTAAAAAAATCATTTTTATCAGCATTTGCTGAACAACGTAACATGCCACAACACACCAAGCCTGAATGAAAACGAGCGATTTAAGCGAGCCAACAGGAATTTAAAAATCTCACGAAAGAGTCATATCACCAGCTTTTAAAAATAACGTCGGAACGGACACGTTGTTCTTGGCGGACGTATTTGAGAACTGTCGGAAAGTTTGCAAAAGAATTATGGCTTAGACCCGGCCAATTATTACACGTCGCCGGGTCTGTCGTTCGATGCGCTTTTGAAACACTCGCGGAACTTGAATTGTTGACTAACATTTTGACTGCCTCAAAAAGTCACTTGACTCCAAGAGGAGTTTTGGTCCACTTTTAACAAATGCACAAGACTTCTCTGCATCTGATGTGCCCTGTGGTTATCATTCAAACGCCTTTCTTAGGTTTCACAAACTTATGTGGAAAACAACTGTACACTGGCACTGTCAAAGGCTACTGGAAGTAGGCCTCAGATGATAGGTGTTACATAATAAACACTATAAGTCCCAGACGTTAGCGTTAGATAACAATCTGAAAATTAATCAAAATAAATAAAAAAAATACCAATCACATCATAACCCAAGGAAGACCATGAGAAAAGGATGGTCTAAACCTAGGTAAGTAATATACATCTACACGAACGTGGTACATTGTGTGTGTATACTATAACATTAAGCACACTTTAGTTTGACAATCTCATGAACTTTCCAGATTTTTATCGTTTCTTGGTAGGGTAAAAATAAAACTAAAGTCACCATAAAGGGCTCTTTTAAGGCCTACAAATCACAGAAAAGATCTGGGAATCACATTATAATCAAACTCTGAAAATACAACTTGGTTATTGATAAGGCTTTTTTCGTAGTGAAATTTACGAATCAGACACTGCTGACTGTATGGCAGAGGAAACATGTTCACAATGCATCCTTGTACACAATGTGTATTTAAAGGCACAGCTATCCAAAAGCCTTTTGGGAAGAGCTTATTATGCTAATTAGGTTGAATCTCCTAAATATGATGTAATGGTTTGCAGACATGTAATGCAAGATCAAACTATTAAAGTGTACCAGAAAAGAGATTATGCAGTAAATTCCAAGTATTGTGGGGATTAGAACATTTTAAAAGAAACCATAATATAATTTTGATTTAAATTTAAAAACAGATTTGGCTGCACAACTACTACAGCAACAAACATCGACAAACACCTCTTTTTCAAACGGGCTGAAAGAGGCAGCATCTCCAGCGTGGGAGCGAAATGTTTTGCCAAAGCCAATAACCCTTCTTTACCCGATTACGACTCAAACATTCAGACGTCGTACATCATGTACCTCGATGCAAATTTCAGTGGGTTAAAGACACAACCAAGATTACTCCCGGGTACATCGCAAAACTTTCTTCAGGCGCTTAAAAAGGCTACATGCTCGAAGTCACCTTGGATTACACACAGCGGTTGCACGACTTAAAACAACAATTTCCCGCTGTCGGGCTATCAGAATGATTTGCTATCGAACGGAGAAAGGCTTACGTCCGTAGACAAGCTGGTGGCGACTTTGGACAGGAAACACAAATACGTTGTACACTACTACACATTGCAGAAATATTTAGAACTCAGTTAAAAGAGGTCCACCGAGTGATGTCCTTCAGACAGGCACCTTGGATGAAAGGTTACAAAAACACCGAGTTGCGTAAATTATGATATTGAGAAGGACCTCTTCAAATTAATTAACAACTCTGTAGTTGGCAAAACGATGGAAAATGTGAAATATTGCATCAAACTAACTTCTAAACCGCACTATAAAACGACTACGCCGTTCAAAGAGTGTGATTTCTCGTTCATTGAAATGTACCGCGTAATAACCAAGTTGAATAAACCGATTTACTGCGGCGTAAGCGTGCTTGATTCATCCAAAACGTTGATGTATGATTTCTATTAAAACACGTTGAAAGCAAATTTTTGTTTGGGTGTTTGTCTTTTGTATATTGATACAGATAGCCTGCTCGTTCAGATGCAAACCGACAATTTATCCGATTACCTACGTAAAAAGTGTGAGATATTCGATTTGAGTAATTACCCAACAGATCATCGGCTATACTACCTAAAAATAAAAATTATCGGCGAAATGAAAGATGAACTTGGCGGTAAGGTTATTTCCGAAGCTGTTTGTATACACCCAAAAATGTACTATAACCCGACAGGTTATATGAATCGACACAAGAGGATAACTTGAAACAAAGTTGTACTGTAGTTGATGTGGTTTATTCGGCTGGCTCGATGTGCGGCTCTCTGCCCAACTGCCAGAACTCGTAGGGATTTT